GCCACTGCACTCCAGTCTGGGTGACAGAGTGAGACTCCAACTCAAAAAAAAAAAAACATTAATCTTTAGTGATAGACTCCAAACAGTGGTTGCCTGGGTAAAGGGTAGAGGGATTGACTGCAAAAAAACAGGAGAGAACTTTGGGGTGAAGATAATGTCTTATATCTTGATCAGAGTGATGGTTACAGAAGTGCATATATTGCTTAAAATGGGTATTTTTTTTAATGCTTCAATTACTTTTTTTTTTAACTCAATAAACAGAAAAGAAGAGGCAATCAAGTCTAGGAAGAAAAAAAGAAACTGTGCAAGAAAGAAAACCCTGGCTGGTGGCATGCACTTGTAGTCCCAGCTACTTAGGAGGCTGAGGCAGGAGGATCGCTGGAGCCTAGGAGCTGGGGACCAGCCTCTGCAAAATAGTTAGGGTCCCTTCTTGAAAGAAAGAAGAAGGAAGGAAGGAAGGAAGGAAGGAAGGAAGGAAGGAAAGAAGGAAGGAAGGAAGGAGAGAGAAGTAAGAGAGGGGAAAGTAAAGAAGGAGGGAGGGAAAGAAAGAAGGAAAGAAAGAGAAAAAGAAAATGTATTCATAATACAATATGTGGCTCAGCTGTGAACTATATGCACATGGCCATAATAATATAAACAATGAATATCATTTGAACCAAAGTGACAGAATTATACTGAGAGAATAGAGAAAGAGAAAATTTGTGGGAGAAAGGAATAAGAAGGGTTTAGGGACAGAGGGTGAGGCAGGAGTGGCAGTAGCGCGTGCCTATAGTTCCAGCTACATGGAAGGCTGAGGTGGAAGGATTGCCAGGGCCCAGCAGGTCAATGCTGGGGTGGCTGTGAGTGTGCCACTGCACTCCAGCCTGGGCAACAGAATGAGACTCCAACTCAAAAAAAAAAAAAATTAAAATTAGATTTTTTAATATGCATATCCCTTGAGCCAGTAATTCCATTTTCAGGAAAACACTCTAGGGAAATATTTCAGGGTGTCACAGATTTATCTTCAGTGCTGCTTATAATAATAATAAAGGAGAACTAATCTTAAAGCCTAACAAGTAGTGACCAATTGAATACAGTCATATGCCACATAATGACATTTCCACCATAACATTTCCATCGACCATGGACCGCATATACTATGAGAGCCCTATAAGATGATAATAACGGGGCACACCCCTCGGGTCCCCTCCCACTGTGGGAGATTTTCTGTCCTTTTAATAAATCTTGCTTTCTCAAAAAAAAAAAAAAGATGATAATAACTTATCTTTTCTGTACATTTTCTATATCTAGCTGCACAAATACACACCATTTGTTAAAATTGCCTACTGTATTCAGTATAGTAGCATGTTGTACAGGTTTGTGCTTAGAAGCGATAGGCTATACAATACAGCCTAAGTATGTACTAGGCTAGACCATTGAGGTTTATGTACTCGTCTCTACTAAATAATTTAATAAATAAATATCTCCTCAGATTCTGCTTTCAACTTTTTGGGTATATCCAAAAGTGGAATTGCTAGAGCAACTTATTTATTTTTGAAAAGTTAAGATCTAAATTTACAAAGTTGGGACCCTAATCAATATTAAGTCAAACAAAGTGGCCTTCCCTTAAAGCATCAAGTGGCCAATAGCTATGGCCTAGTAGACAATATTCTAGTATGACTGTGAAAGCACGTCTCACCTGTTTGCCTTATTTCCATGTGAAAGAACGTTTTCTTTGCATGCCCCCTCACTATGAGGGTAGGGGCTCTGTATGGTCATTTAATTCCCAGAGGCACTGCAGCACTGTTGAATGAATGAGGAGACCTACACATCACCTGGCTGTTGTGAGGACACCATGAGGTGATGCTTGCAAGCCGCCTGTCAAGGAGCCTGGCACATAGTGGATGCTCAAGACACAGAAGGAGTTAGTTATTATTATGTGGCAGCTGGGTGGGGAGGGAGCTGGTTATGACCCAGAGGAGTGGATGGGCGGCCCTGACTCCTGTCATGGAGGGACTGAGGCAAGGTCCTGGGGCCTGCTTGCCTCCATGCCATAATGCTGGGGGAACTAATCTTACTTTTTAGGAGTCTCCATGGGATACTTTCCTCCACAGGCACCATGGGAGCAGTGGCAGCTTGGCTGATGGGCTACAAGCCAGTCTTGTTCGGGTTCCTATTTCTTCTGCTGTTGCTTAGCAACTGGCTGGTCAAACATGAAGGGAAGCCCACCCCCCCAGAGCCCTGCAAGGTGAGCAAGAGGGGGCGTGGCTTCAGCTGAGGGATACCATGTTGATAGCCAGATTTGAAAGTAGGTGCAGGCTTGGCATCAGGATAATTGAGCAAGACTAAGGAATCCAAGACTCTGGTCTAAGTGTCTGCTCTATAGCTTTCTGTTGGATGATGGAGGACAAATAACTTCCTTCCACCTTGTAAAATAGAGACTGTTCCAGCCTTGCCTACTTCATGTTTGATGTCAACATGATTTGTTAACAGTAACAACTACTTTAATGTGGAAAAAATGGAAATGGATGAACTAGAGGTACATATATCAACATATATGCCTCTCTAAAATATAGTAATGAAGACAGCAGAAATGTACATAGATTCTGATATATTTTATTTTATTCTTGAGTTGGCATCTCACTCTGTCACCCAGGCTGGAGTGAAGTGGCACGCTCTCAGTCATCACAGCCTCGACTTGCTGGGCTCAGGCGATCCTTCCACCTCAGCCTTCCAAGTAGCTGGAACTACAGGCACCCACCACCATGCCCAGCTAATTATTTTATTTATTGTAAAGACAAGGTCTTACCAAGTTGCCCAGGCTGGTCTTGAACACCTGGGCTTAAGGCAATCCTCTCGCCTCTGCGTCCCAAAGTGTGAGCCACCACTCCTGGCCCATTCTGACATATTTTATATAATGCTAAAAAATGCAAAACAATACCCTATCTTGTTTATGGATGAATATGTGTAGTAAAAGCATTCTAAGGCAGGATGTCACAACCTCAGTACTATTGACATTTGGGGTCGGATAAATTCTTTGTTGTGAGGAGCCATCCCGTGTACTGCTGGAAGCTTAGCAGCATCCCTGGCCCCTACCCACAAGATGCCAGTAGCACACCCCATCCTATCTGTGACAATCAAAAGTGTCTCCAGACATTACCAAATGTACCCAGGGGAGGGCAAAATAACCTCCCTTGGAGAACTACTGGTGTAGAGAAATGTAAGGAAAAAATAAATACCAAACATAGGTTTACAGTTGAGATGATGGTGTCCACTGAGGGAGGGGACACTATGGGGGTTGGGAGTCCACAGGAAATTGTTGTGGGAATATGGGTGCTTGCAATATTTTTTTTTTTGCTTGTTTAATGAATTTAATATTTAAATATTTCTAAAGACCACTAGTTTGCTGCTGGATCCAATAATCATCATAATAACAAAGTGTTATTATTAGCCAGGAGAGGAGAGATGAGGAGCACAGAGATGATAGCATGCCATGAAACCACTGAGGCTTCGCAGTGTGAGATTTTACTGGGTTGGACAAAATGCTCAAAAAGGCACATTGGAAAAACAAAGCCATGGAGATGGGTATATTTGGGTTAATTCATGTCCTCTGTGACTGGCAGATTGGTGGGCCACCTCATTTATTCCTGTGAACAAAAGGCAACTGTGAGAGGCGCGATTTTTGTGGGTGTGTGATGTTGGGAAAGTGACCTTCCATCCCTGGGCCCCAAGTCTCTCATCCACAAAATGAGGCCAAGGAACTCCCCTTGCAGGTAGCTGTGAGACTTTATTAAGATAACATTTATAAACCACCTGGCACAGAGCAGATGTTCAAACAGGGCAGGGATTATCATTACTAACCAACTATCCCTTTTCCTGATGGTGGGGAATCTAGGAGGAGGCAAAGAAACCAAAGACTTCCGAAGACAAGGCCAAGAACAACAAGGCCGTGAACACGAAAGAAATGGAGAGAATTCAGGCCTGCTTAGCCCTCCAGGACAAGTTCCTTGAACGGCTTTTGTTAAATGAAATGAAGCTGAAGGTCTTAGAAAATCAGATGTTCATCCTCTGGAATAAGAAGAGTCACCACAGGCGGTCAAGCAGACAGCGAAGTTTTCCTATGAGGAAACACAGGACCAGGAGGCATGAGTCGACTTGCTCCACCCTCTCTGATTTCACTTCCTATTCCCCCACCTGAAGAGGCCGGGGTGGGCCAGCCTCTTCTGATGTTGCCTTGACTCAGTAAAACCCAGTCAGAGCCTATTGAATGTTCTCAGTGCATCCCATTGGAGAGGTGGAGCCAGGAGAAGCATTAAGGTCGTCTCTGGAAAGAAATCTGTACACAGCAGTTAGCCAAGTAGCACACAGGGACAGTCTGACAGGGCTCTGGAGCCCATCTCTTTCTGAAGCCTTCTCTTTCAGCTGGGCCACCTCTATTCTGGTCCCAGGCCTAGTGCTATTCATCCTGAGTCTCCCCCTGGCTGCCCCAGCCACTGGTCTCCCATCTCACCCTCACTCAAAGACCAGGGTGGGCACTGCCAAGCCCAGCTCTGGCCATGTTCATTGCCTGTTCTCAAACAACGTCTTGTGACGATGGGTGGCAAAGTAAAACCCCCATTTCTTCCTGTGGTGTTCAAGCCTTCCATGACCCTACCCCTTCTCAGCTTTCCCCCTCCTCCATGCCTTAAACTCCATGCCAGAGTGTCTGTGTCCATTCATTTTGCATTGCTATAAAGGTATACCAGAGGCTGGGTACTTTATAAAGAAAAGTGGTTTATTTTGGCTCGTGGTTCTGCAGACTGTACAAGAAGGATAGTGCTGGCATCTGCTTCTGGTGAGGCCTGAGGAAAGTCTTTCTCATGGGGGAAAGGCAAGGGGAGATGGCATGCTGTGTGGGGAGAGTAGGAGCAAGAGAGAGAAGGGAGGTGCCAGGCGCTTTTAAACAACCAGCTTGCCAGATGCAGTGACTCACGTCTGTAAACCCAGCACTTTGGGAAGCTGAGGGGAAAGGATTGCCTGAGCTCAGGTGTTTAAGACCAGCCCAAGCAACATGCCAAGACCTAGTCTCTACAATCAATTAAAAAATTAGCTAGAGCTGGGCTCTGTGGCTCAGCCTGTAATCCCGCGCCTTTGGGAGGCTGAGGTGAGTGGATTGCCTGAGCCCACGGGTTCGAGACCCGCCTGGGCAACTTGGCGAGACCTCATCTCTACAATAAATCAAAAAATTAGCTGGTCGTGGTAGCGCACGCCTGTAATTTCAGCTACTCGGGAGGCTGAGGCAGAAGGATTGCCGGAGCCCAGCAGGCGAGGCTGCGGTGGCCGGGAGCAGCCACTGCACTCCAGTCTGGGTGACAGAGTGAGACTCCAACTCAAAAAAAAAAAAAAAATTAGCTGGATGTGGTGGCATGCATCTGTAGTTCCAGCTACTTGGAAGACTGAAGCGGAAGGATCACCTGAGCCCAGTAGGTCAAGGCTGCAGTGGCTGTGTATATGCCACTGTACTCCAGCCTGGGCAACAGAGTAAGACTCTGAAAAACAAACAAACAACTAACTGGGTGTGGTGGCACACACCAGTAGTTTCAGCTACTTGGAAGGCTGAGGCAGAAGGATAGCCAGAGTTTAGCAGATCAAGGCTGCAGTGGCCGTAAGCGTTCTACTACCCTCCAGCTTGGGCAACAGAGAGACACTCCAACTCAAAAAAACCCACAAACAAACAACAACAACAAAAAAACCCACCAGCTCTCCATGAACAATGTATAGAGCAGAAACTCACTCATTACCTGGAGAACAGCACCCAGCCATTCATGAGGAATGCCCCCATGACCCAATCACCTGACACTGGGCCCCACCTCCAACCCTGGAGATGACATTTCAACCATCAGAGCCCTGTCAGTATCTTAAACATCAGGCATTTGTATACCACCTTTGTGATTTTGCTGGAGCCATGAACCCCTTTTAAGTTTAACTCAATATTGTCCCTCTCTAGATTTACTATTTTTTCTTAAATAAATGTGTCTGCAAAGGAAAATAAATAAATGACAATTTCTCTGTAAACTTGGAAATGATGTCCTTGGCCTAAATAGAACACACCTGTAAAAAGAAAGACAATGAAAACCAAGCAATAACATTGCATTCCAACCAGAGCGTGGTTGTCCACTGAAGGATCTGAGCCTGTGTCTTATGTCAAAAAGTGAGATTAGTTCTGAGCGTGGTGGCTCACACCTGTAATCCCAGCACCTTGGGAGGCTGACATGGGAAGACTGCTTGAACCCAGGAGTTCAAGACCAGCCTAAGCAACATAGCAAGACTTTGTCTCTACCAAAAAATCAAAACATTAGCCGGGTGTGGTTGTACATGTCTGTAGTTCCAGCTACTCAGGAGGCTGAGGTGGGAGGATCACCTGAGCCTAGGAGGTCGAGGGTGCAGTGAGCTGTGATCATGCCACCACACTCTAGCCTAAGCAAGAAGAGACTCTGACTCAAAAAATAAAAATGCAAGACTAGCAAATGTTAGAGTTTGAAAGACAGGCTAGCACCTAGCTGAGACTTTTCTCTATAAGGAGAATTGAAAGGAAATCACTACCTAACTGCTGATTCAGTGTGACTTGATGCCATGTCAGTGTCCTACCTAAAATCATCTCTTTCATGCATTCTAATCAAACTGGGGACTGGCCATTCCCCAAATGCATCCACACCTTTGCTCACATTGCTTCTCCCTTATGTACCCTCATTTACCTCTTTCTGCTATCATATTTATAATTCCTCAGTTTTTCCAAAGCCACCACCTCCAGAAAGCTCCCTTCAACCCAGCTGTAGTGAATTCCTTTCCTTAGCACTCTCTCGGAATTTTTGATTTCTTTTGTTGAGTCAGGGTTCACCCTGTCGCCCAGGCTGGAGTGCAGTGGCACGATCACAGCTCACTGCAGCCTCGATCTCCTGGGCTCAAGCAATCAATCCTCCTGCCTAAGTTTCCTGAGCAGCTGGGACTACAAGTGTGCACTCCATACCCAGCTACTTTTTTGAGTTTTTTTGTGGAGACAAGATCTCACTATATTGCCTAGGCTGACCTCAAACTCCTGGGCCCAAGCAATCCTCCCACCTTGGCCTTCCAAAGTGCTAGGATTTCAGGTATGAGCCACCATGCCTGGCCTCTCTCAGCATTTTACCTGTAGTTCTAGCATGCATCACAGTCAGCTGGGATTGGATTTGTATGCATTTCAACATTCCCTCCCCAAGCCCCAACTGGATTATAGGCTCTTTGAGGACAAGCACAGCATCTTGTTCATTTGTATATTCCCCATAGCACCTAACACAGTGGTCAGTGTCCAGTCAGTGCTCAGTAGATAACATCTGTGATTGTTGACCACTGTCTTATGTGTCCAGACATTTTTTTTTTTAAGTTGGAGTTTCACTCTGTCACCCAGGTGGGAGGGCAGTGGCACGCTCCTGGCCACTGCAGCCTCGACTAGTTGGGTTCAGGCAATCCTTCTGCCTCAGCCTTCCAAGTAGCTAGAAACATGGCCAACTAATTTTTTGACTTATTGTAGAGATGAAGTCTCACCAAGTTGTCCAGGCTGGCCTCGAACTCGCAGGTTCAGACAATCCTCTCACCTTGGCCTCCCAAAGTGTTGGGATTATAGGGGTGAGCCAGCACACCCGGTCAGACTTTTTTTATTTTTTTTTTAGTCGGAGTCTCACTCCATCGCCCAGGCTGAAGTACAGTGGCACACTCACGGCCACTTCAGCAATGACCTGCTGGGCTTAGGCAATCCTTCCGCCTCAGACTTTCAAGTAGCTGGAACTACAGGTGTGTGCTACCACACCTCGCTAATTTTTAAAAAGTTTATTGTAGAGATGAGGTCTTGCCAAGGTGCCCAGTCTGGTCTCAAACCTGTGGTCTCAAGCAATTCCCTCACCTTGGCCTCCCAAAGTGCTGGGATTACAGGATTGAACCACCGTGCCTGGCTATGTCCAGGCCTTTTATGATGACTTTCCTTCATTCTATTTTGTTCAATAATAGGATCTCTGGTGCTAAATTGCCTGCGTTTAAATCCAAGTGTTACAACTCTCAGTTGTGTGATCTTAGACAACTTTGAGTTGTTTATTCTTGATGTACCTCAGTTTCCTTAACTGTAAAAGGAGAGGTTAACACTACGTACCTTATAGAGTTGGTGTTAGGATTAGATGGTGTCTTAGTCTGTTTGTGCAGCTATAATAAAATGCCAAACAGGCTAATTTACAAAGAACAGAAACTTATTTCTTATAGTTCCGGAAGCTCAAAAGCCCAAGACCAAGGTTCTGGCATCTGGTGAAGACTGTTCTCTTCTTCCAAGATGGTACCTTGAATGCTGCATCCTCTGGAGAGGAAGCATGCAGTGTCCTCACTTGGCAGGAAGTTGAAGGGCCCTTTTATAATGTCATTCACCTATTCATGAGGGCTCTGCCCTCATGACCCAAACACTTCCCAGAAGGCCACACTTCCCACTGCTATTGCACTGGGGATTATGTTTCCAACACATGGATCTTGGCAGACACATTCAGACCATAACATTCTTCTCCTGGTCCCCAAAATGAACGTCCTTCTCTTATGCAAGATACGTTGATCCCACCACAGTAACCTCAAAAGACGCTACCTGTTCTAACATCAGCTTACAAGTCTAAAATCCAGAGTCTCATCTAAACCAGATGCAGGTGAGACTGGTGGTACCATTCATTCTGAGGCAAATTTCCCTCCAGCTGCGAACCTGTAAGATGTGCTTCCAATGCAATGATGGAATAGTCATAGACTAGATATTGACCTCCCGAAAGAGAGAAATAAAGAAGAAAGAAGTAACAGGACCCAAGTAAGTTCAAAACCTAACAGGGAAAACACATTATATCTTTTTTTTTTTTTGAGTCAGGGTCTCACTCTGTCACCCAGGCTGGAGTACAGTGGCACAATCATGGCTCACTGCAGCCGCCAACTTCTGGGCTCAAGCAATCTTCCTGCCTCAGCCTCCCAAGTAGCTGGGACTACAGGTGTGCACCACCACAACCCGCTAATTTTTATTTTTATTTTTTTTGGTAGAGATGAGGTCTTGCTGTGTTTCCCAGGCTGGTTTCAAACTCCTGGGCTCAAGTAATTCTCCTGCCTTGGTCTCCAAAGTGCTGGGATTATAGGCATGAGTCACTGTACCAATCTTTTTTTTTTTTTTTGAGT